TAGAAAATAATGAGATTATAAGCAAGCAGATTAAAAAAAAAACAACCAGGAATTAGAGAGGAGTCTTGCTCCAACATCATGTGTGGAACCGGTCCATTATCCATGGTCGTCGGCTTGTTCCAAGGGTCTTAGGTCAGCTGTCTGCTTCTGAAGATCAGCTGTTTCTGGAGGATCTCCGAGAATCCTGTTTTAGTTCCTGTATTGGAGTAACCTTCCAGTTACGCAGAATTCTGAATTGCTGCTTTAGTTGTGAACTGTGAACCCAGTGATTGACTCCCCTGGAGTTTCACTGCTGTATTTGTTGTTAACAGTATTTGATAAGGTCCCTTCCAACAGGGTTCAGGAACAGTTTTTCTCTGATGGCTCTTCCCATAGATAAAATCCCCTGGTTGAAGATCATGAAGAGATTGTTTAGAAAGATGTTGTAGGAAGGTGGCCTTAACTTGTTGGCGATAGGAGTGGGTACAGTACATGAGTCCCTTGTAATATTTTGTTATGTCTGCATGCAAGTAGGGCAGGTTGTAGTATTGGAGGTGAAATTCCTAAGTGCGTGGGCCTTCCAGTTGTCAGTTCGTAGGGGGATAACCCACACATTTCTGAGAGTGGCTGATGGCCATAAGGGATAGTGGGTAGGAGTACCTTTGGACAAGAGAGTTCAAGGGTTTCTGAAAATGTTGCTAATTTTAATTTAAGGATGCCATTGGTCCTTTCAGCCTTTCCAGCGGATTGTGAATGATAAGGACGGTGTAGTTTTTGAGTAAAGGGTAACAACTTGCAGAGATCTTTTATAATGGTTCCCTTAAAGTGTGTGCCTCAATCACTTGATATAAAAGTTGGGATGTTCTAGGTTGAAAACATAAAATCAAGCAGCTTTTTAGTGACTATAAGGGCGGTAGCTTTTTGGCAAGGAAATGCTTCAAGTCACCCTGAAAATAGACATATAATAACTAAAACACATTGAAATCTCATCGTGGGTGGAAGCTGGATAAGCGGCTAAAGGTGTCCAAAGGACCCTTGAGGCTTTGGTCCTGGCCATGTGCTACCTTTACAACTTTTCCAGGATTGTGTTGTTGACAGGTAACACGTGACCTGAAAATAACCTCAGCTGTCTTTCTAAAGTCTCTCTACTAATGTTGATTTAAGATAGTAGGCAAATTGTTTATTCCGTGATGGGTATTTCATGGTAAAATTCAGATTATTTCTTGAGAGTGCCAGGGATTATGCAAGTGAAGGGTACAGCCAGATTTTTTCCATTCTTCTTTTTCATAATCAGGGACTAAATGTTGATATTTTATAACAGCCTCTTTGAATTTGTCCAGAGATTTATCTTTTGAGGGTTTAAATAGACTCATAATCTTAATTAAAGCATCTTATTTGGCATAATGATCTGCTAGAGCAATTCCTTTTGCTTCCATATTATCTCTTTTAATGTGGGCCTCACTCTTTATAATAACCACCTCTCCAGGAACTAGGAGTGCATCTAAAAGTTCCTTAACTTGCCATCCATTTTGATGCTTGTTTCCAAAGCATCCCAAAGTCATGTACTTCTCCAAAAGCATACCTGCTGTCTGTATATAGCTTTATTCTCTGGTCTTCGGCTAGTTGACAAGCTCTAGTAAGTGCAATAAGTTCTGCCATCTGGGCTGATTTACCTCAAGCAGAAGACTATATTCTGAAGAGCTTTGGTTAGTGATAGCATATCCACTTGATAACCTCAAGTTTCAGTTTTGAGGTATGATCCATCAACAAATAACATTAGGTCAGGCTTCTTAATAGGAAGTCTCTAATAAATAGGAATCTCTAATAAATCTAAGTAGGATACAGAAAGTTCCCTACCTGAGATAAGATGATCACGAGGCTCCCCTTCTTCTGGTAGGAGCAGGAGAGTGGCAGGATTCAGGTGTTTCCGAGGTGAACAGTATGTGAGAGGGAGAGAGTGATAGAATCTTCTAAGGGGTTACTTGGCCGGCTGAAAAGTGTTGTGTATTCTCAGTCAGTAGTAGTGTCTTACTGCATGAGGAACTAGGAGCAGGGAGCCTAGAACCAGTTCAGCAGAAGCATCAACAACATTGCAGTGGCAACTATTGCCCTAAGACAGGGGGATATGCCTTTGCAACTGGGTCAGGGGTAAGGCTATAGTAAGGATGGGTTTTTGATGGTTCCCATGAAGTGAATTAAAACCCCGAGGGCTTGTCTAGATTGCCATACACAAATAGGCAAAATGGCTTCTTATAGTCAGGGATGCCCAGGGAAGGAGGCTACTGAAGAACTTTATTTGGGTTACAGAAGGCCTATTCATATAGGAATTGTGATTCTGAAATCTTCTTGTTGGACCGACTCCCTGAAGAAATTCTTCTGACACTGGCAAGGTACCAGAAGAATGACTACTTTTGTGTAGCCATGCCCAACACCTCGGTGGGACTCACCTGACCAATATTACAATCCATCTCATCATGTATCTTTAGGGCAGGCCCTGTGACTTATTTATCTCTGTACTCCCACTGCTGAATGACTGAATGAACAAATCCTAAATTGACCATGGTAGGGACCTACTCGGATTCCCAGAGTTGATTGAAGATTATTTTAAACTGAAGATATTTGAGACTCAGTAGATGCAGAAAGAAGCCTTTCAAAAGCTCCCCTTATCTGACTAAAGGCAATGTCTTCTGAGAGTGAGTCTGCTATAAATTCCCTCTCCTGGGGACTTTTACAGCCAGGAAGAATATAGACCACTCACCCTTGCATAAACAAACAGCATCACAAACTATCTTACCTCCCATTTGTTCCGCTAAATCCTCATTAATCTTTCCTTAAAAAACCCATTTATTTTCTATAGAGCCCCTATTCATACCCACCTCCCTTCTTTCTCCTGTTAAGTTAGTGTATAAGCTCTTATCCCTAGCTGTTCAGGGAACTACTTCTTTTGTGTGCCTCCATATGCATATGAATAAACTTTGTCAATTCTCCTGTTAATCTGTCTTTTGTCGGTTAATTTGCAGGCCTCCTGACCAAGAACATAAATGGATAGAGGAAAAGTTTTCCACTCAACACCACTCCAGATGATATGAGTACCATCTAAGGACTAAGAGACAAACAAAGCCAGTATGGAGGGTGGGGTGGTGGGTGAACTGTGAGAATGTGAAACTAAAATCTTGGCCACACCACATTTCCTTAGCCCCACTTCTTCCAAATTCATACTCATTGACAAATGTTACTTTACTAAAAATTTCTTGGATATCATATGGCAAAACAATTTAAAAATTTCCTATTAAAGAATTCTGTTCTTCCCTCCAAGTGCTCTCTCTTCTCTCCTCTTCTCCTTTCTTTCCCTCCCCAGGGCTCCAAAACTGCCAGCTATTTTCAGCTCAGGATTTTAGCAAAACAAAAGCCTGGCAGTTCTTTGACTCCATCCCCTGTAGAAAGCGATTCAGAGATCACTCAGTGTTATTTAAACAGATTCCTTGGGAGGATCTCAACACCACCTGGCATGACGCATCATAAGACCTAGCATTTATGGATGCTTTCAAAGCATTACTCCACGCCCTCTGCACATCTTATCTTATTTCTTCCTAAAAACAAATCTAAGAGGTATATATTATTACCCTCATTTTAGAGATGAGGAAACTGAGGAACAGGGAAATAAAGTTCTGTAACTTGCCCAGCTCTTAAGGTATTAAACCAGAATTTGAACTGAGACAGTCTAAATCCAGAGCATGGGGGGATATTTTGATAATTCTCACTCCAGAGGTATCAAAATTGTCACCCAGTACAAACAGATCTCTTTCTAGGAGGGATGCTGCTGATAAGAAATACGATGTTCTCTATCTTTTCTCCAAAAGGTATTTGGGTTTTGGTTCATTTTTAGTTCCTCTACTCAACTCTCACCTACCGGATAAGTGGTCACTGTAGATAAGATCTACCACACACTCACCTTCAACACCCAGGAATGTCAGAATGTCGAAGTGGCCAGAACTGGGTGAGGTCATGTGGAGGCTTCCTTCTTTTCCTCCCTGTTCAGGCACTCTCCCCCTCCTTCTCCAGATCTGGGAAGCGTTCTAGCTGGGGGCGGCTGGACACCTCTCCCCCCTCCCCCCAGGACAGGTGCTGGAGAGAGATGTGGAATCCCAGCTGACAAGAGATTTTCACATATAGGGGCATACGGGTTAACTATTCGGATTCAAAAGTGATTCGGCTTGAACTAAAGAAGCCTAACTTATGGCCTATCAAACATACATTGTACATCCGCTTTAACCATTAAAGTAAACAATGTGCTCTCTCAAGATAAGAATACATACTTCCCCTCTATGCCATATTAGTAACACCCTATCGATAACGCCTGGGTTATTCCCTTTCCCCGACTTTGAGATCATGTTGGCCTGCTGATTTGCAACTGAATACCTCTTTGAAACTTGGATGAATATGTATCCTGGGCATGTTTAATGTATGCTCTTTGTTCTAAAAAGATATAAGACTGCACTGAAAACCATGCTTCTCCAGAATGCTTTCTTCCTTTCTGGAAAAGTCCTTCCCGGGTTATAATTCTCAATCTGGCTCAAGTAAGACTCACCTCTCTCTCTTATCTATAGAATGGTTATTGGGTATTTTGCCTTAACACCGCCAAAGGGTCTCCAGGACTCCTGGGGAGAGAGTGGATCTCCCTTTCCCTCTGTCTCATATGATCGCATGTTAAGTGCCCTTTCTAACCTCCAAGGGCTATTTGGTGAAAATGGCCCTCAAAGAGATAACAAGGACTTGGTTGGGGGTTCAGCATCAGTGCTGTAGTGGCTTTCTCTGCTGCTGCTTGTGAACCAGCAGACAGATAAGATTCGTATGGTAAGAAAGACTCCTATAGGAAAGACTCACTCTCCCCAGCAGCCCTGAAAAGAGGGTGGCCTGGGCAACTCCTCACCTCTTCCTCACAATGACCTTGTTTTCCTCCGGACTCAGACCCAGATGCTCCTCCCACCCTTCCCTTCTTGGAGGCCAACCCCCCTTGTAATCTGTATAATGTCCACACCTCAGGGATTGACTGGTTGCAGAAACTGGCCTTCCGGCTCTCTGAGAGACCAAGCTGGAGACCCAGGTAAGCCACCTAAGAGGTGGTCTCAGGAGCTACTTCTGCTTGAGGGTTGTAGACGAGGGAGCCAGGCGGGTGAGGCTAGCACTGAGAAAGCTTGGGCCAGGCAAACATCAGCTGTGGGCAGAGCTGGGTCAGGATGGAGCATTTGAGCTGCAGAGAATCCATGGGGCTGGGAAGAAGCAGCCCCCAGGTTGCGGGAGACGAGCATCTCTCTTTGGAATACAATAGCATCCTTTATGATGCCAGTGTCAGGCATTGGGCTGAATTTCCCTTGTGTTGTAGGACAACAGGGCTCTGTCAACCATGATCCTGGATGACACTTGGTGGTATCTCAGGGATATAATTTGGCCTCTTCAAAATTTGGTTTATTTAATAGTTTATTCAAAAGGATCTTCTAATGAGCCACTTTTGAGCACACATTTGAGCATTGAGTACAAATGTATTTTACTTTTCAAATGTATTTGAGATAAAAATTCCTTCAGTGTTCAAAGGGAGGACTTTCAGGGTTTTAGATTACTTCCGGGGTCACCACCCAGAGGGGAGGACGGCCTCTCTGTAGCGAGTGGGAGTCAAATGTTCTTAGAGAAGAGGATATGTGAATGTCTCCTTACTTGGAAAAGCTCGCAGGAAGAGTGATGTCTTTCTGGCTGACTGTAAGGTGGGAGGGAGACTGTGAGGTGGAAGACCACAGGTGGAAGTGGGGCTTCTCTTTCTAAGGCAATGCTTTTCCTCCTCTCTGGCTTTCCTGACTAGGCTCCTTGGGCGGAGTGAGGCCACTATGGCTCAGGAGAAGTCCCTTGTCCTGTTCCCATTGCTAGTCCTGGTGCTGCTGGTGCTGGGGGTGGTCCAGCCTTCCCTGGGCAGTGAATCAGCGGCCATGAAGTTTGAGCGGCAGCACGTGGACTCTGACGGCACCTCCAGCAGCAGCTCCAACTACTGCAACCAAATGATGATGCGCCGGAATATGATACAGGGATGGTGCAAGTTGTTGAACACCTTTGTGCACGAGCCCCTGGCCGATGTCCAGGCCATCTGCTTCCAGGAAAATGTCATCTGCAAGAACGGGCAGTCCAACTGCTACCAGAGCAGCTCCAGCATGCGCATCACAGAGTGCCAACTCACGAGCGGCTCCAAGTACCCCAGCTGTGCGTACCGGACCAGCCAGATGGAGAGATACATCATCGTGGCCTGTGAGGGGAACCCGTACGTGCCAGTCCACTTGGACGCTTCTGTGGAAGTCTCCACCTGAGGCCGGGAGCAGAGAGATGCCCCACCACCTCATCATGGTGGCACCTGTCTCTCCCCTCTTCCTTCCTTGCCCTGCGGAGGCAAGGAATAACTCAAGATCCAACACACACACACAAACACACACACACACACACACACACGCACACGCACACTTCCCTGGCCTGAGGCTTCCCCCTACAAGTGGTTTGGAGGGTGAAGGGTGGGTTGTGAGGTATGTCCCATGTTAACCACTTCATTGCTTCTTTCAATAAAACACAGTTGCAACCACCTGGATTCCTGAAGCCGTCCCCATCCAGGTACTGTTTGCATGATTGCTTGCCTGCCAGGGCTGAGGACTGTAAATCTGGTTAGCTTTGGTGAGCAGCAAAGGGAATCATTAAATGCCTTCTCTTCTGGCTCTTGGTTTTTAGTGACCTGAGATAATTCCTTTCCTTGTGGGTTCCTTGATGCCAAATGTAAAGTTTTTAAGTGTGGGCTATTTTAGATAAAAGGGAGCTACAGTCTGGGACACTGTCATGCTGGGTGAACTGACAGAGGGCGAAGCTAAATACAAAAGTCTCTGGCACAGAAGGAAGGTCAGTGTGACCTCAGGAAGATCCTACTCAGCCTCAGGATGGGGAGGAGGAGTGTAGGAAAGTAGGATCCTAAATTTCCATTTTCCTTGTTTTGAGTGAGTTATTACTAAATCAGAAAAATGGTCATCTCTTACTTTGAAAGTTGGAAACTTCCAGCTTCAATTTAGGAGCTGGAAGGCATTTAGAAATTATCAGATTGAGGGAGAGTAAGTAAATTTCAGCTTGTGTACCAACTCTAATTGGAAGTACCTGTCTAGAATGCTGTAGAAAAACTTCTAAAAGGTGATGTGGTTGAATCATAGCCTCTACTGAAGGCGTGAGAGAGGTAAGGGTGTATGTGCCACCCATTTGCCATCCCTGACCTAACGTAACCCCCACCTTTTACAGAGGAGCAACCTGAATCTCAGAAGGGTTAAGTGACTTGCTCATGGCTGCTGCTAGTTGGTGGCACAGCTGGGCCTAGACCCCAGGCCTCCTGGCTTCCCAGTCATTGTTCTTTCTGCTACTAGTGTCTAGTCAAGAAGAAAATTCCCCAGTCTCTCTCCTTCATGAAGTGCTGTGGAGTCAAGACTCTCTCTCCCTGAGCTTGCTGGCAGCTCTCTCACAGGTTCCCAAAGTCCTTGGGCTGTGAGTCTGCTCAGTTCTTGGCAACCCTTCTTTATAGCCACTGAAAAGACTAGACTTGGCTTCCGTCATCACTTCATCATTTCATTTGACCCCCTGTTTGCAGTTGCACCTGGCTCTAGACAAGGTCATAGAACTAGAGAAGGGCCCTACTTCCAACCGGTCTGACCAGTTCTGTCATTGTCTTCATATACTACACTGATAAATGTTGGAAGTGACTGTGTTTTTCTTTTGTAAAGTGAATCCTCAGCCCTGCGGGCTTCTGTGTGAGAAGGCCTGCAGGTGAGAGACAGCCAGCTATTTCTGCATTTCTATGGTAATGGGGATCTCACTCCTTCCTAGCAGTGAGGATGGAGGAGGAAAAAAAAGGAAACTTTAAGTTTCTAGATGTTTCCTTCATCCAGAATTTTTAAGTTCGTCTCACCCTTGTTCCCAAACACAAAGCTCCTCATTTTCCCTCCTGCTAGTGCTAAGAGCACACTTCAGTGGAGCTTTTAAGAACACTCACTTGCAGTTTTGCTGCATCTCTATCTGCACATTCACCAGCCCAGGCTTCTGGCTCCCTGCACATTCCAGGCTACAAGATCGCTGGGGGCCTCCTTCTGGGGAATGAAGTGATAGGTGATGATGGATGGTCCAGGTGCAGACGTGCCCAGCCAGGGAGCCAGTGGGGAGGGAAAGTGCTCTGAACAGGAGGACACCAAGACAGATAAGACCAACTCCTGTCCTGGAGAGGGTCAGGCACAATCACGGAGAGAAACACCTCAGTCGTCTGGAGACAAATCAGATGTCTCTATCTGTAGGGAGACTATTGCTACCCCACTAATAAAGGAATACTAGCCCCTCCCAGGAGATTAACCTAGGCAGATTAATCTTAAAATTGAGGTGCTAACATGTTAAGATGGGTATCTGCTTGAAAGCAGAAACGACCATATCCAGTGATTCTTCTAAGAAGGATAATTTTCAGAAGATTCTTTAAACCAAACACACTCCAGGAATTCTGCATTCTCAGTGGGTAAGTAAACCTATCTCAGCGTCCCTGCTCCTCCTTACCCCTGAAGCTTGTGTACTGACAAAATCATAGTGTCTTCTGCCTCTTCTGGCCTGCTGATCCTCTCCCGCCTCTTCCTCTGGTAAACGCTCCCTTCAATTCTGGAAGCCAATAGTTCCCCAGCCTAGCACCACCCCACATCAAAACAGATCAGTCATCTACACCTAAAATGAGTCCTTCATCTAACGGAGTAAATGATAATCGCATCATGTTCTTTCTTTCCAAGTGCTGCCTCATCAGGATTTGCACTTTGAGCTGTCTCTCTAACTGTGAAGTGAAAGGCTGTTCCCCATCCCCACTCTTACCTTCTTAGACTGATTCAGACCTCACAGAGCAAGGGGGAACACTAAGGGGGCTCTGAGTCTATTCACTCATGGTGGAAAACACTTCAATATTGCTTTTGGAAATCAATCATGAGGGTGGGACAGCCCTCCACATGCACGATTCATGATTGATTCATGTTGGAGGTCCTACATAGAAGGCGCAGAATGAAAGTACACCTCCTGAAGATGAGATAGTGGCACACCTGGAAGAATCTCAAAACGGTCTCCACTTTCTGGGGGACAAATTGCATAGTACCTCTGCAAATCACTCAATAGATTCACGTTACTTTGGGTTTTTTTGTGGCTTGCAGTACGTGTAGGCGGGAAGGTGTCTTCTCAGCTTCCTCCCTCCATGCTTACCTCCCTTCCCACTCCCTTATTATCTTCTTAGTTAACAATGAAAGAGTTGTTCATCTGAATGGACAGAGCCACTCGGTGCTTTTTTTTACTAGAATGTGGTGACTGTATTTAAAGCTCATCACACCTATATGTCATTCTCTAGTTTCTTCTGCTACCAGTCTGGGCAGGACCTACACTTAGGGTCAGTTTCTTTCCTTTCCAACTTCCCTGAGTATGCAGCTGGGTGAATAATTGGGCCAGGGTACCTGGTTTGTCCTAGCCCTACCATCAGCTCCCTGTGCTCCTGAGGCAAGTCTGTAGCCCTCTTTAGATCGTAGTTTTCTAATCTGTAAAACCAGGGGGATGGATTTGGTAATCTCAAATTCCTCTTATACTTATGACTTTCCAGATGAGCATCTACTCTCTTTCCAGCAGAGCTGGGCAGTGGCATGCAGTTTCTGGCTACATGTGAGTAGGCATCTCTAGAATAGTTACATCATTGAAATCTGGTTTAGTTCAGCTCTTGTCACAAAAGAAAAGCCATATTTAGAGATCTGGATCATCCTAGCAGACTTCAGACACCCTTCTAGGGCAGATTTTCCTCTCAGGCAACTTTAGACAGCCTCTGAGAGTCAAAGCTGGCAGTTAGCCTCTGCCAGAGCTTGTCAGGCTTCCTGGATTTTTAGCTTGACTCAGAGCCCACAGAGGGTGTTACCGAACCTGGTTTGTTTTTGCATGCCACCCAGAAAGCCAAACACTGAGATCACAAGATTGCAGCAGAGAGAGAGTTTAATCACAAGGCATCCAAGTGAGGAAAAAGAGAGAACAAATCTCAAATCAGCCTCCCTGATAATGGGGACTCAGGGACATTTATGGGGTAGGAAACAAGGTGGTCTGAAATGTGGAGATAGATGATTGGAGGCGAGGAAGGGTGAGGTAATTGATAATCAGTGCAAGCACAGTCAGATTTCATGCCTCTTCATAGGATGCATGTTCACAAAATGGCGGCATTAGCACGACCCCAGCGTGGAGTTTTTAGCCTCTTGACATCAAAAGGTCACTTATTGGACATCTGCAAGGGCCCAGTTGATAGGTTGGTGGTCTCAACTGGTCTGAAGTGGACAAGGGGTTCTAATTCCTGAAAAACAGCTCGAACACCCATTACCATGGTGATCCAGGCTCCAGGGAGACATTATCTATAGGAATCTAGTGGGAGTCAGCATATTGCCTAAAGAGCACAATTAACAATGGGTAGGTAAATAGCTAAAAGCTATAACCAGTAATCGCAAAAAGGAAAAAAAAAAACTTTAGTTCCTAGCTACTTAATCATCAATGGCTAACTGTTTGCCAGTTTCAAGGGGAGAGACTAATGTGGAGGCTAGATCAGGAGAGCAACAAGATAATGCAGGAGTGACATTGATACCAAACCTCTTAATCTCAAATTTGTGTGCCCAATGCACAGCAAGCCAAACACTGAGACATTGGTGCTTGGAGATGGAGAAAGGTTTATTCAAATTGGCCAAAACAAGGAGGCGGGAGCCTGGGTTCACTCAAATCTACTTCTCCAAGAACAGAAAGCAGGGGGGTTTATGGAACTAAGGGGCTTGGCAAGAGGAGCTTCAGAGAAACAAAGGGGTTACTCCTGATAAGCCCCTAGGCAATCTGACTTCTGAACATCAACAGCAGCTGAGGGCCAGCCACCAGGGTGATCACAATCTCCCTGAAGGCATTCTCTTTCTTCTGCAAAACAAACTCGCACATCCTCTGGAAAACAAGCTAAGAAATCCTCAAGATCCCTGCGTCACTCCTCAAGTTAAACAGGAAAACAGCAAGTTGGTTTAATATCTACAGTACCCCTCAGGTACCTGACTTCAGGATCAGGAATTTCCTGAACTTCACTGGAAACATGCCTAATAGAGGTTGAGAGCTGGGCCCTGCTTCAGGCCAGTACGTTTGGCAGCCTCTCTTCCCTACCTCCCTCAAGCTCTTCCTGCCCCTCCCACAAACACCACTGAACAATTAAGGGGAGGGAGGGCTCTGGGATAAGGGGAGCTTGGGCTGTTGTAACATAGGGACAAAATCTGTTTGCATGGGACCATAAGTGTGTGTGCATGTGACTAGATATATATGTGATAATGTTTGTAGATCTGTGAAAGGAAGGAATATCAGGGTAGTGAGGGGAGGCC